ACCGCCTAAATACATGACACATCCGCAGCTTTTGTCACATATACCTTTCTCTGTCCTTGAGTTTACTAATATCCCCTACTGGTTTTAGCAAGTGTGGCTACTAGAATTAACACTCCTGGCATGGGCCCAGCACTTTCAAAAGTAGTATACTGGACTGAAAATGAAATATGTCACTGTGTTACCACCTAGAAGCGTGATGCATTATCAGCTCTTATTACGTATGCATCTCTTTAACCTTAAGATTACTAATATCCCCTAACAGGTCTACGATTGCATACTAAGCTAAGATGTCATAAATGTACGCACAGGCCGCATTGTAGCCTACCACCTTCTGGTCTTTGCAATTATGATTACTAGATTTGGCACCCCTAGCATAGGCACAACACTCTCAAAAGTAGTATACTGGAGATCAAGGCAACATGGCCCCAGACCTGATGCCAATCAGTGCCATTTCTGACGAGATTAAGCAGCACTTAATTGATTAGGATACATCGCGATAAACAGCAGCATAAACAGCAGATGCAACAGCAGCAGCAGCTGCAGCAGAAATACGTGACTTGGGCGCCTCGAATATTTCTGGGCATCTTCTGTGGGTGGGTGAGTGAGGGTAAACTGTGCAGTAGTACCAGCCCAAAAGCTAAGGTAACACCATGTGATATGACAGAACCAGCGATACTAATAAATATTGCCTCGCTAACGTAAAGGTGACACCGCCAGATGGACAGGGATGAGAGGGCGGAACCCAAGGAAAGCATTTATGCCCCAGTATAACCACCACCAATAAATTTAACAGCATCAATGAAATTGCCCTTTTCCTGTTGCATTGACTTAGACTGCCCTACTGTACCTACAGGATACTGTATTTTAGTCTACCACCTACTAGTCTTAGCAGTTATGACTACTAGAATTAGCACCCCTAGCACAGGCACAGCACTCTCAACAATAGTATACTGGAGAGCAAGGAAACGCGGCCCCAGAATTAACTCCAATTAGCGATACTGCTGTCCTCGAGTTCAGAATGCGGAAAACAAATCAAGCACAGCTTACTCAGGCTCCCGAGCTTGTACTTACCCTAAATAGTTAAACACAGATAGTAATTTATAGCTGAGATCAAGGGGATACGAGCCCTAGGGTAGTCATAGGCCGCATCACCGGTGGTAAATGGCGGCACAGGTGCTATCGTCAGTACTACTACACTCTTATTGAGGCTAAGGGGATATGACTCTAGTACTTCTGACATAGGCACGTACCTATGGCAGCAGCTATAGATACAGG